CACACGCACACGCACACACACGCACACGCACACACACACGCACACGCACACACACCTTTTGCATAATAAAGCTGGAAGAGAATGAGAATTGTTGGCGAAGACAGCAAGATGGCATTTTATATAAAATTTATAAGACACAAATAAACTCACCAAATTTAAATTGTATCTATAAGTGATTTTACAAAAAAAAACTGGATTACAGTAAATCTCTTGGTTTTAACTATTAGGAACAAAAACAGACAGACTTTGGGACATAATTCACATTATGGTTTTCAGAAACTAAGATCTAAAGTACAAATTTTCATTACTGACTAGGCAATACATTCCCCAGTTTTAACACCTCTGAACTCAACCTAGTTGAAATAGAAAATTACTATAATACACATTGTTAATAATCATACTCTGAAGCAAGACATGGTTACTAAAAGTTATTGGTATAAGCTATTTTCCAGAAAGACAAACTTCAATCCCCCTCAAATTTCACACCCTTTAGAGTGAGACAGCTTCTCAAAATGCTGTCATAATGTTAGAAAAATTTATATGGGTAAGAATAAAATTGATAAGGCCAATGAAAAGTATTTTTTTGGTTTTAGAACAGTATTGTTGCATGATTCAATATGGAATAGTATTTTTCACTGTAGGTATTTTTGTATATGAAGTCAGTGAAACTGATTTCTCTCTCCTCATGTTGTAATCATATACCTATCTCAAAAGACACTAAAAAAAAAAACTCTAAAAAGACAAAACTATGTCAGTGAATTTTCTATTCCCTACCACCAAATCCTTCCTACCCCACCCCCACACCCCAGCCAAAAAAAAAAAAGCAAACAAAAAAACAAACTATAAGGTTAGGGGCTCTCAGTTGACTCTTCTGTACAAGAACTCTCCATAAAGCATAATTTTTCTACTAACATCATGTTCAGTTCAAACAGTAAATAAAAATGCTGAAGAACAATTTTAAACATAGTCATCTACTGATATCAGCTTAGAAACCATGTAGGTCAGCTTAACAAACTATTCAGTGCCTTTAAAGTCTTCAGCATAATACCAAGTAAAAGAAATCACATGTAAGACCCCGAATAGCCAAAGCAATCTTGAGAAAGAAGAACAAAGCAGGAGGTAGCAGGCTCCACAATTTCAAACCACATTACAAAGCTATAGCAATCAAAACACCACAGCACTGGCATAAAAAAAAGACATACAGGTCTCAATGGAACAGAATAGAGGGCCCAGAAATAAACCCATGTATATATGGTCAATTAATTTATGACAAAGGAGCCAAAGACATATAAAAGAAAAAGGACAGTCTCTTCAATAAATGGTAGTGGGAAAACGGAGAGCCACATGCAAAAGGATGAAACCAGACCACTATCTTAAGCCATACACAAAAACTAATTCGAAATGGATTAAAGCCTTGAGTGTGAGACCTAGAAGAAAGCACTGGCAGTAAGCTCCTTGACATCGGTCTTGATGATGCTTTTTTCATTAGAAACCAAAAGCAAAGGCAACAAAAGCAAAAATAATCAAGTGATAATACATCAAACTAAAAAACTTCTGCACAGCAAAAGAAACCATCAACAAAATGAAAAGGCAACCTATGGAATGGGAGAAAATATCTGCAAATCATACAATTCAAGAGCAAACAAACAATCTGATTAAAAAATGGTCAGAGGATCTGAATAGACTTTTTTTTCCACAGAAACTATACAGATGGCCAACAAGTACATGAAAAGATACTCAACATCACTAATCATCAGGGAAATCCAAATCAAAACCATGAGATATCACCTCACATCTGTTAGAATGGAAATTATTAAAAAGTCAAAAGGTAACAAAATTGGCAAGAATAGGGAGAAAAGGGAACCCTTGTGCACTGTTGGTAGCAATGTAAATTGGTGCAGCCACTATGGAAAACACAGTATGGGGGGTTCCTCAAAAAAATTAAAAATAGAACTACCTTATGACCAGCACTTTTGGGTAACTATCAAAAGAAAACAAAAACAGAATTGTACACCTGAAACCTATGTAACTTTACTAACCATTGTCACCCCAATAAACTAATTAAAAAAAATAAAAAATAAAATAAAATGGATATTACTTTTTTAAAAAAGAAAGAAAACAAAACTATTGACTCTAAAAGACATATCCCCATGTCACTGCAGCATTATTTACAAGAGGCAAGATATGGAAATAACCTCAGTGTCCATGGACAGATGCATGGATAAAGAAAATATGAAATACATTGGAATGTATTTATAATGGAATATTATGTGCAATGGAATATTATTCAGCCATAAAAAAGAATGAAATCTTGCCATTTATGACAAAGTGTATGGACCTCGAGGGCATTATGTTAAGTAAAATAAGCGAGACAGAGAAAGAATAATACCATATCTTACTTATGTGTGGAATCTAAAAACAAACAAACAAACAAACCCAAGCTTACAGATTGGTGGCTGCCAGATGTGGGGGTTGGGGAGTGGGCAAAACGGGAGAAGTCAAAGGGAATCATAAAATAAATAAGCCATGTACAATAAATAATGTACAGCATGGCAACTAAAGTTAATACTACTGTATTACATATTTGAAAGCTGCTAAAAGAATGAATCTTAAAAGTTCTCATCACAAGAAAAAAATTTTGTAACTATCTAAGGTGACAGATGTTAACTAGATTTACCGTGATCATTTTGCAATGTATACAAATATGGAGTTATTATGCTGTAGACCTAAAACTAATATAATATCATATGTCAAGTATACCTCAATTAAAAAAAATACACTACAAAAGAAAACCATTTCTCTGTCTCAAAATGCAAAAAAAAAAAATCCACATATATAAGTATCAATATCCAATTTGGTCTACATAAGATCATCTACTTCCTTTTCTAAACCATATTGAACCATATTTCATAAGTTTGCATTCACAATCTATGACTATCAAGACTAAATAGTCATAAAAAGTAAACAAACTTGTTGACAAATTAGTTCCAGAAACAAAAGCTCAGCATCAACTATGCCAAAACCCAAGCCTTTACTAATTCCTATTGCCTCCTCTCCAGCTGAAACTCTCATTATCTTATCTGAATACCTATTATAACAACCTTCTAATATTCTCCCTACATCCAGTCTTGTCCCATTTCAATCTCCTCTCTATACTGGAATAATATTTTTAAAACAAAATTTGACCATGTTACATTTCCACTCAAGAGACTGAAAGCATTCCATATTTTATATTTAACATGGCATAAAAGTTTCTTGATGATATATACTCACCTTTCTTTCTTCTATTTTCTTCTTCACCCTGTATCTCATTTGAACTTCATATTCTCCTGCTTTTACATACATTTTGTCGATCCTTCCTAAGTGTTCCTTCACCATCTGCCTGGCATATTAGTATTCACCTTTCAGGACCTACCTCAAACATCATCTCTTCA